GAAGCCTAATAAAGCTTAATTGTAAATTTACTGGACAGTGACTCCTTTAAGGGGACCCAAATGTTTTCAAATTAATTGGTAGTTCATTACGGGCTCTCAAACTCCTAACTTGCTATCTCTTTCTTCCTCTTTACCTATACTGTTGATGAAGGGGGTCTTCAACAAATTTTGGTACCGTCAACACTTTGTTACTGGGTTTCCAGCCACCTCCTTGTTTTTTGTTGCCTTCATCTCTTCCACTGTCTCTCAAAGTGATTTGTAATGGTGTAGGCCGACAATCTACTACATGGTGGCAGCGGGACACACCAGAATAACTGGTCCAGCTTCTCTAATCACAAGCTCCCTCCCTCCTGCTGCTCTTCCATCATATATTCTGGGTTGAATTTTTTGGCTAACTGTGAGCTGCATCATGGCATTTCTCACCACGAGGCCTAGCTGGATTTCTTGCCATATCTTACCCAAACCTGCCTTATTATCAACACACCCTGGCCCAGCAGTATTCCTCATGGTCCACTCTATCCTATCTTACCAAGTGCTATTCGCAGACCAACTCTCCACTCACTGGGCTTCTACCAAAAGACCAGCCTCCCTGGTGCCCCTGCTATATTTAAAGGACTGCTATGCAGCCAGATGAGCACTGACATTCAGAAGGTGCCCTGCTCATTGACGGACAGATTATGAATATGTCGGAGAGGGTTGATGATGCCACCATTCTCCAACAGGGACCTGGTGGAGGGGATGGTGCAAAGGAAGGGGATCTTTTGCTCGGAGGAAGGGGAGAAGAAGCTGTGCGACAAGGTTATGGCAGCCTGTTTCAAGCTATTTGACCTCAGGTGGGTATCATACCAGCAGCATCCCATCTCCTCAATGGAGCTGTCACTCAATAGAGTGCCTGGCCTCTGATTTTTTTTAAAAAAATAATTCACGGGATGTGGGTGTTGCTGGCTAGTACTGCCCATCCTTAATTAAAAGTCAAACACATTGCTGTGGGTCTGGAGTCACATGTAGGCCAAACCAAATAAGGATGACCTATTTCCTTCTCTAAAGGACATTAGTGAACCAGATGATGTGTTAATGACAGTTGAAGTGGTTACATGGTCACCATTAGTCTAGCTTTTTAATTCCAGATTTAAAAGGATTTAATTCAAATTTCACCACCTCTCATAGAAATATAAAATCCCAATAGTGTGGAAAGGGGCCAGTCGGACCATAGAGTTTTCACCAACCCTCCGAACAGCATCCCACCCAGAACCAGTCCCCAACCTATACCTGTAACCCCATATTTCCCAAGGCTAATCCATCTAACCTGCACCTCCCTGGACACTAGGAGGCAATTTAGTATGGCCAATCCACCTATCTTGCACATCTTCGGTGGGATTCATAGTTGGATTCAAAACATTCTCAGCCCATTAGCCTGGAGTTCTGGATTACTCGTTCAGTAACTTTACCACTACACCATCTCTTCACCTGTCTGGTAGCTCTTAGCCCCTGGGGTCCTTGATTTTCTGGGACAAGTCTCACTGTTGTCCTGAGAAATGCCTGAATGGCAAATAGAGATGTTGCAGGGATCTCACTGCTTCTCTAGCTAGTGGCCAAAAGCTCCATTGCTTCCAAAAGATACTGCCATGTGCTCAGATTCCCATCCTCCTGGTGAGTTAGTTTAAAGTCTCCCTAACTGCTCTGGAAACAGCAAAAAAACCACAGTACTGATTGCTGCAGGGAGGATGACTATTTCCTGGACTGTATAAGGGCAGAGTTGGAATAAAAAAGGGTTTTCTGAGAGTTTCAGAGCTGGAGCAGATAACAGAGTCATGGAAGGGCCAGGACATGAAGGGAGTTGAAAACAAGGAAGAAAACGTTAAAGGTAAGACATTAGTTGAACAGCAGTCAAAGCAGGTCAACAGAGGTGATGGGGAAAACAGACTTGCTACAGATCAAGACACAAGGGCAAAGTTTTTGATGATTTGGTGTTTACAAGGGGTAGAATGTGAGAAACCAGCCAGTGGTGGAAATGTGGAGCTTGCTAACACAAGGAGTAGCTGAGACAAATAGAAAATGTCACATTATTGTATTATTTGTAAAGAAATAGGATCTAATCATCATCCAAATATACATCCTGGATGCCACATTTACTACTGCATTGCAGTCAGGTGCCGATCAACAGTATATCAGTCCATCAAGCACATGCAATGAAGCTATAACATTTTCACGCAGCATGTGATTATTTACGGTAACTAGAAAACATAATAGTATAGAATTATTTAAGGGCTAGATAAATACTTGAGGAAGAAATAACTAAAAGGATTAGCAGTTGGTTTTGTAAAGTAGGCTAATAGAGGTTCTATCATGACAATGGATCATAACCCCACAGTGTATTATGGTATATCAAAATTTTAAGTACAACATGTTTTTTTTTAAAGAGACAAAGAAGCCAACAGATGGCTTAGGATGTAAAGTCAGTGGTTGTCTAAAATCCTTTTGTGTCTTACAGTAAAAGAATCATGGAATGTTGCACCTTAAGAGTGTCAAGATGACTTCAGACAGCAACACTTCAAAGAGAGTTGCCATTCAAAAACTGAACTGAATTCTCCTGTAGATTGTGTCCCAGGCTGTGAACATGATTTGAGTTGACAGAAAGGTAATTCTTGGTGAAAGATATGTTTATGTTTTATCCCTCCTGAAAAGGAGCTTAAAACCAATTGCTTGCCCTGATCTCTGTGTATTAGTGTGCTATGCAGGGCCACAGATAAGAAGGTTTCACTAGATGCCTCTGGATGTACAGATAAAAGGAAACAAGGTCTCTTTCTGATTGCTGAAAACAAGTCCAAGAATCACCACTAAGAATCTCCAAACAGCCATCCAACTGTCAAAGTCAGCACTATGAGAATCATCCACATTTACAATCTCAATGTTTCACACTACGTGTCATGGGCAAGCCAAAGACTGATTCAGATTGTTTTTAAAGTTTTAGTTTCTGGACTCGCCTTTGATTTCTAATTTGTGTGCATGTGTCACATTTTATTAATTTTTTTTCGTGGCTTATTAAGATAATGAACATTGCATTTAGCAGCTCTTTTCAGTCAAACTGGATTTGAAATATTATCTCTATTTCTGTTTCCACTGATGCTGCCAGACTTGCAGAGTTTCTTTAACACTTTTTGTTTTTATTTCATATTTCCAGCATCTGTAGTATTTTGCTTTTGGATAATAAATTCTCTCCTTTTTACCTCAAGAAAACCCGGTTAAATTAGTTCCTTTTAAAACATAAATATATTTGGACTGGGAATAGGAATCCCTGGGAGGAAGGATAATTTTAAAATTAATTTTGTTGCAACAAACTGAGGGTGGGGTTGAGCAAAGTAGTGTCGCCTTGTTTACCCTTCCTCACCGAGGAACATAACTATTTTGGGGAATGGGGGTGTTATCCCATCCAGCATTGTCACAAATTGAGGACTGTTGTTGAGGGACGGGTCATAAAATTCAAGTGCAGTATCAACACTGGCATAGATCAGTCAGACTGAATGGTCTCAAATCTGTCCTGTAAAATCTGTTATGTAGTCAAATAACCAAGGTTTGTAGGTTGCTAATACAGATCATTTATGCTAACAAAAGCAAAACGGTATAAAATCCACAAATGCGGAAATTGCCCCAAACCTCTGGAACAGAATATTTTTAATACATTTTTAAAATACAGTTTTTTCACTCATTCATTCATTCATGTAACACCATCTTCATTTATCCACTTTAATATTATGCTGCGCATTCCACATTAGTATAGACTGCCCTCTATTGTTCAACATGGCTTATGCATACCTCTGGGATATGGGTTCCTTTTCTCTCTTACCAAGCTGCTGTTGTATTTTGTGAGTGATGAAGCTGACCAGATGGGAGGGGTAACTGCATAGAAATATTAGGAGTAGACATCTTAGCTGATTTTCTGCTCATCACTGAAGGACGGTGGCCAAATTAGCATCTTTGTGGCCATGGCAACTAGGGTTTCATAATTTTCGTTTTTATGGCTCAGAGGTTTAATGCATAAACATGCAGAAACATTGAATGAATGAACGAATGATTTATTGTCACGTATATTTTACAGTGAAATACAATAAAATAGAGTAAAATGCTTTCAATTGTCGCCATAATCTGGCGCCATTTTGATAGTTAAAGAATAAAAGACAATGAAAAGATGTGGCTTAAATAGAAGTCCATCTATGTACAAGTTTTGAGCTGGCTCAGACCACCTCATCAGACCCAACCAGGCCAGGCCCGCTCTCCCCCTGCCGAAGACACCAATAAAGGCTTTTAAAAAGAAAGGAAAAATTATCATCTTCTGTTTTTAATCTCACAAATATCCAGCATCCATTTTCACTGTAGCTCACGTAAAGAAATCCAAAACTCTCCTGAAGGCATTTAAATATCAAAAGGGTAACAGTAAAGGAAATGAGGAATCAAAAGGAGGCCTAGGCATAAAGGCAGAGGCTGAGGTACCAAATGAAAACTTTGCAATTTTCTTTACCAAGTAGAAGATGCTGCTGAGACACAATGAAAGAGGTTACAGTTCAGGCACTGGATGGACTAAAGTTGATACGGAGGAGGTATGAGAAAGAATAGCTTTCTTCAAGTAGATAAATCACCAGGTGAGAAAATATGAAGATACTGAAGGAAGTAAGAGTGATCATAAACTTCCTATCTTCTTTAGATATAGAGGTAGTATCAAAAGACTGGAGAACTGGAAATATTTCACCTTCTGCCCTATAACCATTCTACCACCTGGAGTTCATTATGAGGAATTAAAGCAAACATAGAAAGGCAAGTGATAATGGGATTCTGTTGATATGCATGTCATTAGTAATCTTTAATGTAATACTGTCTTATAGCTATTATTCTGTATTCAATTTTAAGTTTACAATTCAACAAGTGTCATTCTGCACTTTTCTTTATCCGTTTAATTCAAGTTACAAATCCCCAGAATGTCGTAGTTGGCCTATATTTATACTCACACATCTTCCTGTAAAGCCTGAAGAGTTGCTTCAATTTCAGACTCCGTAATTTCCTCATCCATCATTGCTAAGTAGATATACAGAGGCTTGAAGGTTTCAAAAGAGATGTGGGCAGCACCTCCCGTTGGGTCAGTTGTTAGGATTTCACAGGCATATTTCAGGGCACTGAATAGAGACTTTAGAAGAATTTTATGTATGTATACATATCTCTACAAAATGTGATCATAGTGTTCTACTGATGTTTATATCATTAGTATCTCTCAATGTAGTACATTGCGAACAGTGTCTTTGGAATTAACAACTCTGCAGCTGACAAAGGTTAGCAGCATTTCCCTGAATAAATGACTATCCATTATAAGCAAGGCTGATATAAACGGTGGTAACTATAATAGAAAACCTCAATACAGCACGCAATTAATACTGTACTACAATAAGATTTGCTGAATATGCAAAAGTGACACAAGTAAATGTCAAGTTGACTCCAACCTCAGCAACATTTTCCAAGTCCCACTTGTTCCCATCTTGGTAAAAAGGATTCTAACAATCTGTACATTGGATTACTAATTGGACAAATAGGGAGAAGTAAATCATTTCAATGGTGGTATGAAACAGTTGTGAGTGATGGCCTCATTCAGGTCTCAGTTTTAGCACTCGCTCCCTGCCATGTATGACATATAGATAAGGTATGGGCAGAATTTTAGAGTGAGAACCGTGCCATTAGGGTCAAATAGAGGTCCCTACCTAATAAGGCTGGAAAACAATTCACCGGAATTGGACAAAACTAACCCTAAGGTTCAGAGGAAGGGTCACTGGACCCGAAACGTTAACTCTGATTTTTTTCTTCACAGACGCTGCCAGACCTGCTGAGCATTTCCAGCAGCTTCTGCTTTTGCCCCTAATTTACAGCATCCGCAGTTCTTTCAGTTTTCGTCTGTGTGGAGTCTGTCTGCATGGGTTCCCTCTGGATCCTCCAGTTTTCTCCCACAGTCCAGAGATGTGCAGGTTAGGTGGACTGGCCATGCTAAATTGCCCGTAGTGTCCAGGGATGTATAGGTTAAGTGAATTAGTCATGGGAAATGCAGGGTTACAGGGTAAGGGTTGGGGGGGTGGGGTGGGTGGTGGTTCTGGGTTGGATGATCTTCAGAGGGTTGGTGTGGAGTCGATGGGCTGAACTATCTGCTTCCACACTGTAAAGATCCTATGATTCCCAAGCTATTAGACACCTTCTTCTTGACATGCCCTCTCAGCAACTTTTAAACTAAAATAAAAGCGAAAGCCGACAAGACCACTATCACAGGGGAAAATCCTCTCCACAGATTGGCCAATGGCCACAGCTGAAGGTGGGTGGAAAGAGTGAGGCCACCTATCCTTGATGCCTCACAAGCCTGGAACCCTTTCAACAACTAGCCTTAACTGGCCATGTGCTCGCTTCAATTTGTTAGCCACTGCTTGAGGATATGCATCACCGGGAAAATGGTGCAGGATTAAAATGGTCCTGGCTATCTGGCACACCACCATGGTATGGAAAAGTCTGAACGTGGAATGGTAAACTATAGAAAGTGGAGAAATGGAAGACAATTGGGCTAACATACAGTGAACAGGGAAGTTTCATACAAGAAAAAAAATTTGCATTCTTTTTAACAGAATTTTGATCCTATGACACAGGCAATGGCCGATACTGGATGTTAAATTCAAGACTGATGAAGAGCATGATTGATGATCATATTCTGGGAATAGCATGGCTCCTTTCCCACCAAAAGGAAGAATAATATATTTTAAAAACTGCTGAGAATAGCAGAACGGATATGGAAAACTCCTTTGTACTGAAGCAAATGAGAATTTATGGCTCAAGATATCCAGAGATAAAATAAATCACAGGATTAAATAAAGGATGATTCTATATCTGCAGACTGTCTCTCCTTCCAACCCAATGAACAAGATTTCAACACCTCCTTCCCTTCGTATTTTCCCCCTTTTGCTTGGCATCATATAATTACCCTTAAATTGTGCTTTTTTAGAGTTCCCATTCCTGCTGCACATCCACCTTTATCATCTGATAAAGAGACTGAAAAACTGGCACTTTTCCTGGAAAGGCTGTAGAAGACAATGTCAATCTAACTAAGATTAATTATATGGGAACTATGGTTTTGAATCAACAGCTGCTTAAATCAGTTAATCAAGACAAGATTACCTTTTCTTCAAAAGTAATATTTTATAATTTACTTCTTGTTTTAGATTACTTTGACATTCAAACAGGAAACATTTAATTACGAATGGTGAATGTTTGCTGCTGAATGCCAGGATTGTGAAACTCCATCGTCTGACTGGAATGTAACACTGACGACTTGATTCAACGGTTCAACTTAATTCAATGATTGTCAAATGTTTGGAGCTTACTGATATTCTGAGAGGTGCTAGCTAAACACAAATTCTTTATGAATGCACTTTATAAATGTGTGAGTTTCATAAATTTCTGATTACATTTGCAGTATTTTAAAAAGATATTAGAACAGGGTGTTAGACAGAAAGAAACGAAACACCTCCAGGGTCAACAGCACTACGCTGGGTCATAAGCCATAGACACACCAGTGAACAAAGGCTTGAATATTTTATAGATAATGTGAATACTCTAAAACAATCTATTGTCTTATGTTAAGGCAATACATGAAAGTGGACAGTTTCAATCAAATTGACCATTATCATATTATTATCAAATTATATTTTAATTAAGATGGGATGAAACATAGGAATAGTTAAAGAATGGCTCCAGAGCCATTTCCTAAGTACATCATTCATCCTGTAGACAATTAGAGACTATTCCTGTATCAGGCTGGGAATTAGCCTTGCTTTTAGGGGCAATTCTTGGGGCATGTACCTCTGTCCACAATTTGGGCTCCTGTCAGCAGTATTTTGCCTCAAGGAAGGAAATAGTTCCTTTTCATGACCATAAATTTTCAAGTCTGTCCACTGTTACTATAAATATAACATTTTGGATCTTTTGTCAGACAGTTAAATGGTCCTTAGTTGTTAGATGAGTGCACTGTTTGTTTTACAGTACTTAACAGAATTTGAGTTTAATGATTAACTCAGTGTATTAGTCTTGCCCAATGGATATATTGCTGTGGAATTTGAAATATCTAAGCTAAACAAATTGAAGAGGTGAATTCAAAACTTGATTAGGCTTGCACAAACAAATTGAATAAGTATTAATTACCTAGACATCCTTTCCAAACTTATAAGTCCTAGTGCTCCAATGCAATAAATTTTTTAAATGTCGTGCTTGTCCACAAGCTCCTTTGTGGCCTTTCTCACTCTGTGACCTTCTCCCAGCTTATATCCAAACCCATGCCTTTGTTTCATCACTGGCAGCCAAATTTTCAGTTGTCTTTGTTCAAAAAGGGAATAGATTTGTATTGCTATCATTTGATTAGGATGTATGTAAATATCTTAATCTGTTGAATGCTAACTTCCTCAGGCAGTCACCTGGGTTGCCCATTCATAAAATCCGAGAAAAATATAGAGATCCATAAAGACACCAGGAGCATATCATTTGAAACTTTAAGTTCTTTTATGCAATTTTGAGGACCCTACAACTCTCTTCCCATTGGGATGGAAGCCACAAAATTCCTTCTACTCTTTTATTCTGTTTATCAGAGTGGCAGGATATATCTTGAGATTTTCTCCCCCATTAAGAGCTCCCAATTAAATCGAAGCATCTTTTCATAGAAAAGTTCATAGAATCCCTACAGTGTAGAAACAGGCCCTTCCACCCAGCAAGTCCACACTGACCCTCAGAGCATCCCACCCAGACCCATCTCTCTATAATCCACCTAATTTACACCTCTATAACCCACCTAATCTACACATCCCTGAACACTGTGGGCAATTTAGCATGGCCAATCCACCTAACCTGCACATCTTTGGACTGTGGGAGGAAACCAGAGCACCCGGAAGAAACTCACGCAGACACGGGGAGAACATGCAAACTCCACACAAACAGTCGCTTGAGGGTGGAATCGAACCCGGATCCCTGGCGCTGTGAGGCAGCAGTGCTAACCACTGAGCCACCGTGCTGCCTGAAAGGATGACCAAAATACTTGCCTTGGTCTTTGGGCAGCAATTTAAAACATGCCCTGAAATTCTCTTCTTCTTAATGGTTGTCAAGCCCTTTAGTGTAAACTTAAACTAGTCATTGGAGTTATACTATTATACGGTCTAGAAATCGTTGTTTACTGACATCAGTGTTAAATGATGTAATACACTTATTATGAACATCATATTTATCACTTCAATTCATGCCGTTTATTATAACTCTTTGTTTGGTTATTAGCACAAACTAATACTGCAGAAAATAAGAAATTCAACAGGTAATGCACCATATGATGTTCTTTGAATGTATGATGAATATTTCATTGTCTACTTGGCTCATAGCTTCGCTGTTTTAGGCATTTAAGATCTGTGTTAGTTGTATAGATATAAACAGTTTACAAAATTATACGTACCCCACCCAAATCACTGCAAGCAAGTGCCAAGAATTTCATCCATTCAATCTCATCCTCTAAATTGCCCAGGTGCAGAATCTTTTGTAGTTGTTGGTATGGCAATCCTAGGTCTTTCCATTTTTCCACTAACTCAACCTCATGAACAACATGCTTTGGAGAGAGCTAGAGCACATAGGTACATGCTTTTAGATATTGATTGTTCAGTACAGCAATATTTAAAAACCGTCACAATTGTAAACCAAAAGTCAGTTCATATCTAATAGCAATCTAATACAGCTACTACAAACGGGTTTGGACAAATATAAAAAGGGAAGGAACATTCCTTTAATTATTGAGGTATTCTCATTCATTAAGATATAGGTTGAGGCAGAAGGCCCTTCAGCCCACTTAATCTTAACCCATTATAGCACTTAGTTTCTTTTTTTTATTCAATATTCTGGCCCAACCACCCTTCCTAGCAATCTGTTCAATACTCTACTTATAAAGAATGACTACCTAATAATGGTCCTAAATTTAGAATTGAAATATTGGCAATGAAGATAAAGACCACCTATTTCAATGCCAGAAAACATAATTGTCATTAATTTTCACACAAAGGATTCAAACTGAATTATTCTGCTGAGGTTTTCTCTAATCTGTGATCAACACAAGACTCTCAACTGCATTCGCCGCATGTAATGTGGTCCCACCTCATGGTACCTCTGGACAAGTCAAATCCCAGAATGAAACCTGACCTGATAGATTACATAGTTAATTTTTATTTGGTTAGTTAATGTGGTAGTTAGTCACAAACATATTCACTCAAGACTGCAAGTATTCTTTAACAACAGAATATATATTTATTACAAAAATAGAAAAGAAACAAAATAATTAATGTTGACATATAATAGTTAGAAAGATCCGAACCGAAACAGCAAAATAAAGTTTCTATCTGTTCTTCAAAGCTATCTCCAACAGAAACTGAAGTCCAGAGAAATTATACTGTTATCACAACTCTAAGTTTCTACTTAATCGACTCCTAACTCAAGCCGGAATGGCTTCCCCATAACCTGAGGGCCACCCAGCCAAACAATATAGATAATTTGGAAGACAGTTTAGAAAGATCTTAACACAAACAGCAAGGGCAAACAAAATCCCTGCATCCAATCTGCCCAGCCCTGTCAACTAAAAACTGGGAACATTTAATGAGTATAAATGCAAGCAGGGAATTATAGTCATTTTTGGCAGTGACAGTGCATATTTTCAGATTTTTTTTAAAACAACGGTCTTGAAAAATATTCTTTAACATTCTAGTATAGTACCTGATTATGCAGAATTTTTAGAAGTCCTGGTGTAAGACCAGTGTTATTTTTCTGAGTTGCCACTGGCATTTCATACCGTTCCTTCACTGGAAGGGTTTCACCTTTAGACAATGCTGAAAAGTACCTAAATTAACAAGTGATCAGAAAGTGACATTAATTTCAGCTATATAGCAAACTATAGGATAGTTGTGAATGCACCATTTTGTCATTGGAAGAAGGGAGTATTTCTGATAGAACCCCTCATGCATTTTCTATATTTTTTCTTTTAAAGTTACCACTGTGACTCCCCGGGCATAGCTGAGACGGAAGGACTGCAAATTCTATTCTTACTCAGAGCAAAAACGATTCACCAATGGACGTCCTTCTTGCAGGAAAGGGGCAGTAATGAAACTAATGGTTTTAGTTTACTTAAAATGTTTGTGTGCTTTCATTGTGATTGATGTTCTCCCACCTTTGGAAGCTATGCCTTCATCGGCATCTAAACCACATATTCTGGAATTCCTTCTATCAGTCTAACAGTCTCCCCATCTGCTGCAAGTCCAGGTCCTACCTCATCCCTCCTAATAACTTTCATTTATATTTTTCAACTCAAGCCACACTGAAGTACCGCGGGATAGATTTTACATTAAAGGCACGAGATAGGTGAAAGTTCTTGTTGTTGCTAATAATATTAAGGGCTATGGAATGTCAGATAGAGACCGGCCAATTTCTAATTATCAGTGACATCAAGGGATTATGGGAAAGCATGACAGAATGGCATTGTGGTAGGTGATCAGCCATAATCTAGAATGACAGAGCAGGCACAAGAGGCTGAATGGCCCACTGTGGCTCCTATGTTTTTTGAACATTCAAATGTCATGACATCACAATTTTAATTTATGCCCACTAGCTCAGGTTGAATTTTGAAGTCATATAATGAAATGGCCATCTAAAGATGAAGTAAATTGGAGAGTAACTCATTCTGCGCTAGGTACATTGTGTGTGTGAAATATGTGCTGCTCGGCTTTAGACTTCAGAAGGAGCAAAAATCCAGTTCCAGTGAGACAAGATAAGATTCTCCAGAACAAATGAAGACTAATTAAAACTGAAGATAGAAATTATATTAATATGAGACCCAAACCAATCTCAGATTAAATTAACAACTTGTAAGAGAAGGCCAGGCAATGACTGCATCATTACAGCAAACAGTATAAATTAAGGCAGCAAAATGTCACAAGAGGGTTATCAAATAAAACACTGAGTGATTTAATAAATTATTAGAACAGGTGTCCAAACCCCTGATCAGACAGATAGGTTTTAAGGAGAATCTTTTTGGTGGACAGAAATGTAGAGAGGCTGAGAGGTTTAGGGAGGAAATTTCAGAGCTCAGGTCCTAGACAACTACATTTGCAAATGTTGATGGAGGGCAATTAAAGTGAAGAGGTGGAGGAGGCCAAAATTGGTGGAATGCTGAAATCTGAATTGTAGAGGTGGAGAACGTTATCACAAAAGGGACGGAGAGACCCAGAGGGATTTGAAAATAAATGGTAACTTTAAATTAATTTCCTGACTGTCAGTCACTGTAGCTCTGCCAGCGCAAGAAAAGTAGTTGAGTGGTACTTGATATGATTTAGGGAATTGGCAACAGAGAAATGGATAAGCTTAAGTATAAGGAATAGCCAAATATAAAGATAGAATGAATGAGGGATTCAACGGTAGACAAGCTGAAGCAAGGAAGGAGATGAACAATATGACAGAAGCGAAAGCAGGCTGTCTTGGCGACAGACAAGGTTAGCAGATTAGCTGACTCTGGCTGAAGTAGGAATGTAAACAGTCTGGTTCAACATCAAACAATGACCAAGAAAAGGCAGCAACTTGCTCACCTACTCTGAAGCTGAAAAAGACTTTAGGGATAACATAAACACCTTATCCATACAATGCGTATTTTGTTAAATAGATAATGCCTCAACTGAACAAACATTTTAACTACATTTTTTTTATTCCTCCATATAAGAATAGTTATGCAATTTAAGAACTGAGTGGCATGAAAAACAATGTGAAGAGCGAAATATTTTCAAGGATGCACACAGCAGCATGTTGAAGAGTTAAAGTCTCTGAAGGGTGGAAAAGAGGAGAGGCCAGCTAGGAAAGGAATAAAAAGCTTGGGTTAGAAGGAGATAATGATGTGGGTGAGAGATTCAGCAGTAGGCAGGTTGTGGCCAAGGCAGAGACAAGTCATGATAAACACCTAAGTAGCTGTTCTTTAAAGTGAGAGGGTTTCAATCAATTTGTTATTACACACCTCTGGAGGGACTTGAACCCAGGCTTCTTAGTCCAGAGGTAGGCATACTACCAATGTAGCACAAGAGCCCCTCTAAAGTAGCAAGTCTGCAGTCTCTTACTGGGAATTGAACCAGGGCTGTGGTGGTGAAAGCGTCAAACACTGACCACCAAGGCAGCTTCTGCGAGAATATACGGGGTCAGGAACTCAGATTAAGGTCAAAACATAAAAGAGACATAACAGATTTAAGGTAATTACAGAGCCTGGATTTTGTACGATGGAACCTTTTGTCATTTAATCTCTCCTGCTCGCCACCCAATCAGACACTTCCATTTGTTTTACTAATTTCCAACCCCCCTGACCTTCATTTGCTCAAAACCTATTATGGTTTCCACCTTTCTGAGTTAAAGGCCTGAAATATTGAGCATCTTTCCACACATGCTGCCTTACCTGCCGAGTACTTCCACTGTTTAAAACTTGTTTTGTATCTAACTTTTTTTTTTGTTCCAATGAGAGATTTTCAAGCCAGAAGGTTACCTATGTTTCTCTTCACAGATGCTGACTGAACTGCTGAAAATTTCCCAGCATGTTCTGTTTTAATTCTATTCTTTTACAATCTTGGCTTTTCAACCTGATGTCTCAAATACAACAAGACATGCCATTTTGAACCTGCTGGCTGATATAGATATTTATATAGGTGTTACTCACGCAGCAGACCACTGGAGAACATCACGTGGCTGGGTCCGGATGGCAGCTTTTGTAAACTGCTTTAAAATGTCCGGGAACTCAGGTGGGATTTCAATCTGCTGAGCGCAGAACATAACATCAGGAAGTGGCATGGCTGCTGTAAAGAAGAATTAAAATGAAAGACACCAGGTAGAAAAGGAACACATCAGGGAAGCACAAATCAGAACTACACCTAAAATCCAGAATTACAGTTGTGATCTCCAAGTCATTTTCGCACAAACCACATTAAGATTGTCTGATGATGTGAATCAAGCAATGTGATTAAAACAGAAAAGTGAAAATTTAGTGCTCAAACCATACATACGTAAGGAGGCCATTCAGCCCGCTGTGTCTGTGCTGGGTTGCTTCAAGAGCAATTGACATAGTGCCATTCCCCTGCCTTTCTGTCTTTAGATAGTGATGTAATTTATTAAAAAGCATGATTGAGTCTGCCTCTATCATACTCATAGAGTTATAGAGTCATAGAGACGTACAGCATGGAAACAGACCTTTCAGTCCGACTTGTCCATGCTGACCAGATATCCTATATAAATCTAGTCCCATTTGCCAGCATTTGGCCCACATCCCTAAAACCCTTCCTATTCATGTACCCATCCAGATGTCTTTTAAACGTTGTCATCGTACCAGCCTCCACCACTTCCTCTGGCAGCTCATCCCATATATGCACCACCCTTTGCGTGAAAAAGGTGCACCTTGGGTCCTTTTTTTATCTTTGCCTTTTCACCTTAAACCTATGCCCTCTAGTTTTGGACTTCCCCAGCCCTGGTAAAAGACCTTGGCTATTCACCTTATCCCATGCCCCTTATGATTTTATAACCTCTATAAGGTCACTCCTCAGCATCTAATGCTCCAGGGAAAATAACCTCAGCCTATTCAGCCTCCCCCTTGAGCTCAAACCTCCAAACCTGGCAACATCCTCATTAATCTTTTATGAATACTTTCTAGTTTCACAACATCCTTCCTACAACAGGGAGGCCAGAATTACACACAATACTCCAAAAGTGGCTTAACCAATGTCCTGCACACTCGCAACATGACCACCCAACTCCTGTACTCAATACACTGAGCAATAAAGGCAAGCAAACCAAATGCCTTATTCACTATCCTATCTACCTGCAACTCCACTTTCAAGGAACTATGAACGTGCACTCCGAGGTCTCTTTGTTCAGCAACACTCCACTGGACCTTACCATTAAGTGTGTAAGTCCTGCCTTGATTTGCCTTTCCAAAATGCAACACCTCACTCAATTAAATTCCATCTGCCACTCCTTGGCCCATTGGCCCATCTGATCAGGATTCTGTTTTACTCTGAGGCAACCTTCTTCACTCTCCGCTACACCTCCCATTTTAGTGTCATCTGCAAACTTACTAACCATACCTCCTACGTTCACATCCAAATCCTTTACATAAATGACAAAAAGCAGTGGACCTCTCAGCTCATACAATCCAGATCCCCACTTGCTGCGCAAGAAAGTTTCTTCTCATGTTACCTTTAGATTATTTTATCAATCAGCTGAAATTGGAGCCCTTGGGCTCTCAATCCTTTCACCTAAGAGAACGGTTGCCCTCATGATTTTGAGTACTTGATCAAATTTCCTCTTGACCTTCTCTTCTCCAGAGAGAACAGCCCCAGCTTCTCCTATGGTGAGATCCCTCATCTCTGGAAATATTCTAATAAATCTTTTATTCAAAATCTCTAATGACTTCCTTCCTTCCTAATTTGCAGCTGAGAGTTAGATGCAATACTCCAGATAGGGTGAACCAGTGTTTCGTACAGGTTTATTATAACTTCCTTGCTCTTGTACTCTCTGTCCCTTTTTGTAAAGGCTAAGATCCCTCATGCTTTATTAACCGTTCTTTCAACCTGCCCTGTCCATTACCCACTTGTGTGGTAGGCAGAGCATTTCTGTCTTGATGACAGCATCCTGTTGGAGGAAAATACCACTCATTACTGCTACATTGTAGCAGCCTGAAATGGCTAGATTCAGCTCTTGCTCCAAGTTTATTTAAAATTCTTACCATTCAGCGTAATTTGAGATTGAATGGAAACTTTTCTGGGGTAAAGTGCTGGTGCGATGCCAAGTATGTCTCAATAACTGGCAAATTGGATCAAACAGCATGTCCTTTCACAATAGGCAGAGTACTAAGTGCACTGAACTGAGCCATGTTTGCAAAACTCAGAGCATAATGTCTGAAGTTAAAAATTATCCCATGATTGGACAGTATTTATCAAACAATCCTGAGTTGTCAAGAATGATCCAAATAATCAATTGAAGGTGATCAGTCAGGATCACAATGTATCCCACTTGCACTTGCTAGAAGCAGGGACTTGCTGATCACAGGCAAAAGGAAAGAATTGAGGTATTTTGCCTTCTTGAATTAAACAAAAGACCATTAATCAATTGTCCACTGGTGCATTTACAATTGATGAGAGTTGGCTTGTCAATGAATCAGTCATTGCTCCTTTCGAAATTTGGCTTTCTTACATCAATTCTGATGAGTGCGAGATAAAAAGCTATAGCAAAATGTTTCTTTCTTTTTCCACCAATAATGCTTCCTTTTTGTTCATTTTAACCTTAATCAAACTTTGAATGTGACTTTAATATGTGAATTAGCAGATAATCTGAATAAAGCAATGTTGACTATAAATGAATTGTAATTTGGAATAAACTGAGTACTGAACAGTCAAACACTTCCGTAAAATAATTGTCAATGGCTGCATGATCAGTATGATATCTACTAAAAAATAAGTAGAACAGTTGCTTTGCTGAACTTCATGCAGAATTGGCAATCGTGTATTATATTTTATAGGGAGTTAAACCAGAGTATGTGGTTCTGGCATGTGCTGTCAATTGCCTGAATAACTGCTCCTACTTACTGACTCGGATGTGATTCCTGCAGGGTTCACGAGGGCATGACGCGCAGTATAGAAATGAGATCCATCTCAAAGAGGGATAATTCAACAACGCCTGGTATCATTATGCATGTTTACTCCTGGTCAGGTCGTGTCAAGGGAAGCAGCACCCAACCTTCACACGGCCTGCTCTTTACAATGACTGGAGCAAATGGTTTCACCTAAGCCTGCTGCTGACTGGCTGCATGCTCATAAGCAGGACTCAGCAAATCGAGACGACCAGTACAACATGCTTAACAACGCCTCTGAAATGAGATCTGTACTTGTGCAACAGGAGCTACCATAACAGTTTCAGAAAAGCTTGGCCAGAAGGTCAGGACAGCAATTGGAGCAACCTGTCAGAGAGAGCTCCCAGGCTTTCATGCGCAACTCTGAAGGCTTCAGTGGTGGTGTGTGAATGGACGAAGTGACACCATGTTTTCGCAGGGCCAAGGAGTGTCAGATGAGGGCTTTGTGGGGGGTAGTAACCTAGATAATGCTATGGGCTTCTATGACATGATGCTTGCTGCATTGGTACAGCTGCTTCAGAGTCTTTGTAGCTGTTGAGACATATGCAGCAGCCTGGCTCCAATTTTGCACAAGGCTTCACTCAATATTCGGAACCCTTCCTTTCTGGCAGGGGAAGCAGCAGTTAACTCCATGGCAGCACTTGCAGATCCTGCAGTCATGAAGTAGCGTGTGAGAGCCAATGCCTCAGCTTCCAGTGCAGAACCACCCAACATCCCAGCATTGCGATACTGGAAGCAAGCAGCAGTGGTTGGTCAAATGGAGATCATGAGGGCCATACGGGCTCCCACTTATCAATGTCAAAAGACGCCCATCAGTCAGATGAATGAGGCAAATGGCAATAGTTTCAGGGATTTAAAGGTCTGCTGTCCTCATTCAGAATGTGAGCATTATATTTCTACCACTATGATTTACCAGCTGGCTCCTAGTAAGTCATCCCAGCATGCTGCTGTCGTCCAAGAAAGGGTCCTCAGGGCCTTGAGCAACTCAAAGTTGTCCTATGAGGTCATCCGCGGTCTTGTCAGCCAGGCACTGTAGGAATACGACACATAGGTGCACTAGGACAGGCAAGGTCACCGGTAAAACAACGACCAGGGAATGTACCAGTGTGGGTAGTTAAGCTTTGTACGTATTATTGGAAGTACTGCTCGGTAAGATTGTTATGAAATGGGTTTTTTTGTCAGTCGCTTTTATTTCAGAATTTTGTTCAAGATAACAGTGTTGGCACAGATGATGGATTGAGAAGTTCGGAAATTTAAAGCAGTTGTGATCAGAGGATGAGATCTCAGGAGGACTGGAGTCTGAGCACCCATTTATAGACAGTTTGCCCATTGAGAAAGGATCCCAGCTTCCTCTTCCCTTCCTCCTCTTTCTCTCAAGACAGCCTCCACAGGGCTGGTGACAAGGCTGTGGCTTCATGATAGCGAGGTTGTAAAGCACACAAGAGATAACCATGAACTTGAAAACACCTCTCCAAGCAATGGGGAGCTCCCACAATTGGTCTAAGCAGCAAACCTATTGTTGTACAATGCTGATGGCTTAGCTTGCTCCACAATGCTCCTGACTGGTTGACACAGTTATCCATGCATCATCAGGTGGCGGAGAAGAGTCTTGAGACAAGGTTGGGGTGGTCATACCTTGTCAGCTAGCTGCCAACATCTAGTTCCTTGCAGCAGACTGAAGGTGGCTGGTCAGGATAACTGGATGAATGCACCAGGATAGCAAGTATTCAGTGAGAGAATCTTGGGGGTTGTTACACATCTATCAGATGTTAATGAGTGTCCTCCCTTGTAGTTGTGAATCATCCCCCTGTTAACATGTGGGTCCTGCAGATCCGTGTGCATCCCAGCAATTGCACAGCACTATGTGTCATTGTGGATTCCCCCAGTCTGGAAATTCCACGGGCTCTTTCCTCTTGTTACTGGCTCATTATTGAGAAGGTGGTGAAGTCTCTACTCATTCTGTCACCTCCCTGATGCAACAGTGGATTACAAACTGTGACAATCTGCTAATGTCACCCGCTCCGAAGCACAACAATCCACTGTGGCTATGTTGACCTTGATGGTCACTGGCAGCACCTTCCTGACTGTGGTATAGCTACAGGGAAGCTGGGACACAGTCCAGTCACCATACTCTTTAGCCAAAAGCAGACACCTCACGTGCTTCTCCGGGCT